TATTTTATCAATTATAAACTATTTTTAACCATCAAATTAAGATAAAAAATTAATATTTCTTTAAAAAAATGATAAAATTTTGATAATTTTAATGGCATTAACAAATTTAATGGTGACTATACTCATACCCTAATTTCATATCTAACTTTTTCTTGAATTTTTTAGTTTTATTGTCTAAAGCCCTTATAATAGATTGTAAAATAAAATTTGTTAAATGAAAAACCATCTTTAGGATTAAAAGAGATATAGTGTTGCTTGGTAATTGAAGTGGTTGTATCACTAATAAAAGAGAATTACCCAAAAAAATAAATAAAACAGACTTTCACACCCTAATGGCAACTAGTGTTGGATGTTGGATATTTAGTTTGAAAATGTACTAAAATTATTGTCATTGAATATCCAATGTGGTTTAAAATGTTGTACTCTAGGCTTAATAATCTAAGTATGAAAATGAATTAAATTTTGAATTTAAAGTTTTTTGAGGGACATGACTATTAATCAAATTACTATATCCATTTAGTTTGAACATTTGAATGATCATATTTGTTGGAAGGTTATAACATTTGGTTAAATGACATTATTTTTAGTCATTTATTCTTTCAAACTATATAAATCTATGCAAGCCTAGATCAAACTTACAAGAGAATTTGCCTTTTTCACAATCTTTTTGGAGAGAGTTTAGTTCCTAGGTTCTTGATGTCTCTTAAGGCATTTTGATATATATTCTAAGGATAATAATTTCATTCAGACCTCAAAACACCTTTTTTTTTTTTTTTTTTTTCATTTTCCTTTTATTGTTTATATACTATTTTCCTAACATATCAAACTTGTGCTTTCTCTCTACTTCCTTTCCTACAAACCTAAACCACTTGCTATATATAATTCACCAACAATTAAAATTTAGAAGAAATATCTAGCTAGCTAATTCTTCTGACTGTTTCTTTCTTTTTTAAAACAAATGCCCAAAGGAAAATGGAGAGTGTATATCACCAGAAGCCTTCAGGATTCTCCTTTAATTCTAATTCTGAAGAGGAGTTGAGTGGTAGGTATAAATATGGAAAATATTCCAAATCAGCCTCATTTTATTCATTCATGTAAACTTTTAACAAGCGAAAGAAAACAGTCGAGTTTTAGATGAGTTTTAGACTGATTACAGCAGATTACCCACCTTTCTCTAAAAAATAAAGGTTATAAATTAAGGCTTTATTTGAGATTTGCTTATACAATATCATTATCACTTCACACATCACCATATTTAAAAATATATGAATTTATCATAATTTATTAATTTTAATTTATTTCTATATTTTAATCATTTCAATTAATTTTTTATTTATTTTTACATTAGTAAAAGACAACAAAACCTTCCACTACAATATAACACAACAATACCAACCCAAACCTAATTCTATTTAATAACAAATGAGTAAAGTAAAAGCATTACAAAATATATTACTATATGATATGTGATTTAATGGTAGATTTTTTTGTGCACTTTTTTTCGTAGATTAGACTTCAATCTCTAACTTTTAGGTTTAAAAAAAGTATAGAATATATTAAAATTAAATAGACGATTTTTAAATTTTTTTTTTCCAATAAAGACTAAAGGATACGGTATATTATTTTTAAAAAATAATAATGGAATGATGACAGTTTAGTTTATGTTACACGGCGACCAGGCGCATGAGAAATGGTAGCTAATTAAAAGAACGTATCACAATTTATTCCACAGTCAAAGAAGTGATACTTAGCATCAAATCAAATATATTCCTTTTTGGTGAAATCTTGAAAAAAAATAAAGTTTAGAGATTTCACTTTATAAAATGGTCGACTTGTAGTCCGCTCACCCTCGGCCGATCGACTTTGGTAAAGTTCTGCATCTTTGAGTAGGACTCCATAAAGTCCACCTCTTATTTTGTAATTAAAGATGTGTAAAGAATATTAAAGAAAGAGGGTTGCCGGATTAATTCTAGCCCATGGCCTATTCTCCCAAGAATTGCTGTTATAAACTCATTGTGGTGGACTAAGTGGTAAAGAGTGATGTAAACCATTTTAGAAAGGAAAATGATAGAGAAATAATTTTTATTATACAATGTTTTTATAAAATATATCTTATTAATTCTTTAATTATTGACTCTTTTTGTTTTAATGGAACTCATGTCATTGCTTATTTAGCGTTGTGTAAGTATTATGTGAACAACATGCGGCCTGAAAATAGAGGGCAAAATTCATACCTTTTTGTTTCTCTAACATAATTAATAACAAATAATTAAATTATAATCTAATATAATTAAAGCAGAACTCAATTAAAATAAAAAAATAAAATAAAATTATTCAGGTCACATGTTACTTATGTGGTGCCACATAAGAGATGATGTCGACTTTGTTAGTCTCACCAATGACAAAATTAAAATAATTTTAAAAATTAATAGACAATTTTAGAAGAAAGTAAAGATTCCATGCTAAAAGAAGTTTAATAATTAATAAATCATTTATTAAATTAAGCCTTATTTTGATAAGTTGTATTTTGACAGTTGGAAAGGTCAAATCTTATTTTATTCTTTTTGCAGAATGAAATCCAGCCTCCAAAAGTACAAAGTGCATATTCCAGTCTTCTTATTTCTTATGTGCTGAAAGACCCCAACTCGGATTTCAAAATCATGAGAATTATATGGAGCCCGTGGAGGAATGTGGATGACCGAATTTTTTAAGGAATTTAAGTTGAAAGTGCTCTCCTCTTATTTCCATATTTTATTTCATGGTTATTTTTTTTATTTATAAATATCGCTTAATCGATAGGTATCTATATGGAAGTTAGAGAGGATTTCGGTTGATTTTTCATTTTATAAATTTCGAATTGTCAAAATATGAAGGTTTAATTTCTTATAAAATTCCTAATCTTTATATAAATAAGTGTAGTCTATCATAACTAGATTAAAAAGTTAGACGTTTGGTATTTAAAGAAAAGTTAGGAAAGCCAAAGTTCCTTTGGAGATGTTCCACTATTTTTTAAGTGGATAGGGATAAAATGTGTACGTACAAACTCAGTCCTTTGTTAATGGTGTTTTCAATGGAGCACCATTTAATGTGCTTCATCACAAAATGATACATACACTATTTATTGCAACAAAAGCTTTCAAATATCAAAGAGAAGTTGTAAAACAATTCATTAACATTACATTTATATTTTTGATCAGCCATATATATATGTAGAATACAGACTAGACCATATCCGTGCGCACCTGCAAACTAAATTTTGCTTATTATTTGGAGAAAATTGCCCGCCCCAACCCAAATGCTGATCAAATTTTACAGATTAGTTTCGCTTTAGGCCTATAATTTAGCAGATGATTAATCAGTGATGCTTTGGATCAGGTCCGCCTGGACTTAATCTTTCGAACTCCTCAAAAGGCTTTCCTTCCTGTCTCTCCAAGCTTTCCTCCAACACAAATTCAGCTTCCTTCATCAGAGTATGCTTTTTGGCCGCCTCGCCTGAAATTTCCTTAGAACTGTAATGTTGCCCCTCGGACAATAATGCCTGACTCCTCGTCGGAAATGGAATAATCGGCCGAGGTTCAGAAACCGAAAATGAAACAAAAAGGATTAGGAGAAAACATAGCCAAAAACTCAAGTTGGTAGCCATTTTTCTCTTAGTTGGTGTATATCACTCTAGGTATTGTGCGATATATATAGAGAAACTCAAGCCATATATAATCCTTTTCTACCATTAAAATTTGGTCAAATGGAGCACATTCTTTTTGTTTGGGATCACCTTTTTGTATATTCAATACATCATCAAAGTCAAGCATAAATTGACCGACTTCTAATCCTTATTTTCAAACTTTTTATCATCTAATTATGATTATATTCCATTTTTTTTTTATTCTTATCCCTGATCAAAGTACGAAAAAAGAAGGGTTTCTATCGTTTTCTAATACCAGCAAGTGGCAGCTTTTGGCCGTCTTTGGAAGAAAAATTGTGCGCAAACACCCCACTAGTCCTAAACCTAAATGTTAAGTAAAGTATAAAATCTTTTAATCTCCTACTTATCTGTATTCCATATTGCTAAGGCCAGGGGAAATGAATTGGGTCCTTTCTTTTTTTGGCCGTAAATTGGGTGCTAAGGTCATGGGAAATGAATTGGGTGCTTCATCAGGAGATTATGACAAATGGAATCAGTATGCGATGCAAAAGCAAAAAGTTGATTTGGTCTGTGCGCTGGGAATTGAGTTAATTTCCTATTTGGAAAGGGGAAGACGTATCTATCCTTTTCCTCAATCAGATTCGTTTTTCTTGAGTTCCATGTAACTCAAATGGGAATAGTGGAGCCAATCTACGTAGATTGCACTAGCTTTCTTTTTCTTAAAAAAAGAAAAATAATAAATTTTGATCCACTCTCATTTATTAACTAGTCTCACCCTGTATCCCTAAAATAATATCTTTTTAAAATAAAAATGAGACTGCTTGAATTTTGCTTAAATTTGAATTTTGATCTCTTAAGTTTAGATTTTTATATGGTTTTCATCTATCAACTTTTTTATTTTTTTTAATCCTTTAATTATGAAAAATACATTTTTTTAATATTTTTGTTAGTTAATTCATTAAATTTGTTTATATATGCATATTTTTAATTTTGAACTTCTAAATTGAGGGATGAAAATTTTATAAAATCCTAAAATTATAAGATTGAAAATGTACATTTATAGACAAATTTAACAAATTAACTAATGAAAAAAAATTAAAAAGTGTATTTTTCATAGTTGAAAGACAAAAAAACTATATAAAAAAAGGTCGAGAGATAAAAAATATGTAAAATTTTAAAGTTGAAAAATTAAAAATTGATATTTAAACTTTAATTTTTTCCATGAAGGTTTTGGGGATTTTTTTTTTTTATCGAATTTTTAGAAGTTAGACTAATAAACACTGATATCAAAATAAATACACCACATAAGAAATTAAAAAAATTTTGTAAGTTCTCAAGCATACAAAAGATATATCCACTTTTATTTTTTTTTTTTGCTAATCGATTTATCTGCTTGATTGCTAAACTTAGAATTTGATAACTTCTGCACTGAGTTTGTGACCTTTTCCTTTTTCAAACCGACATTTGCTTGGTGGATTAACAAATTTTAATTTTCCTACTAAGACGTTTATAATTTCATTAATAGAGCATATATCGGAGTAACAAATACTATTCATATTGTCATTTATATGTTACTTTGATAGTAGGAAAGGTCAAATCTTATTTTATTCTTTTTGCAGAATGAAATCCAACCTCCAAAAGTACGAAGTATTTCGGTCTTTTTATTTCTTATCTGCTGGAAGACCCCACTTCAGATTTCTAAATGAGAATTATGTGGAGCCCAGAACGAATGTAGATGACAGAATTTTCAAGGAATCTGAGTTTCAAAGTTCTCTCGTTTTATTTCCATATTTCGTTTCATAGTTTTTTTTTTTTTTTAATTGGAAGATATATATTCCTTAATCTTAGGGATGGCAATGGGTCCGTGAGGTCGAGGAGTCTCTCTTCATCTCCATTCCCACGAATGGTGGGGATGGGGATTCCCATTCCTCATTAATTTATATCAAAATATAAATTTTTTTATATATTGTTAACAATATTCAATTATAATAAACAAAATTCTAAAATTCAAGTACAATTAATTAAAATTCTCTAAATAAAAAATCAAATATAAATTATCCAAATATAAATAAAGATCAATTTGACATAAAAATCTAAACCCTAAGACTTGTTCCAAACATAAATAAAGATAAGTTCAATACAAATAGCTAAACTAATATATTTGGGTTAAGTTTAATTTTTATTGAATTGGATTTGGATTTGTAATTGGTTGAATTAAATTTAAAATAAAATTGAATTTTTTTTATTTTTTTGGGGATGGGAATTCCTTTGGGATCGAGCGAAACAGGAAAAATTCCTTGCGTAATTTTACGAGGGAAAAATGCCCTCCCGTCCTGGCCTCGGCCCCTCCTGCCCCTATGGTGGGGATCCCCGCGGGGATGGAGACAAATTGCCGCCCCTACTTAATCCACAGGTGAGTTAGAGAGGAGTTTGGCTGATTCTTGATTTTATCAATTTGGAATAATGAGAATTTGAAGATTTAATTCCTCATAAAATCCCTAATCTTTATAGAGATAATTGCACTATATCATATTTAATTAACCAAATTGAAAAGTTACACCTTTGATATTAAAAGAAAAGTTAAGAAAACAAAAGTCCCTTAGAAAATGCTCCTCTATTTTTGAAGTGACCAAGGATAAAAATGTGCACGTACAAACTCAATCCTTTGTTAATGGTGTTTGCAATAGAGCACCATTTAATGTGCTTCATCACAAAATGATACATACACTATTTTGATGCAACAAAAGCTTTCAAATATCAAAGAGAGGTTGTAAAACACTTCATCAACATTACATATATATTTTTTCTCAGCCACCAACATTACATATAATATATGTATATATAGTGCCCATACTCAACTACTCCCATGCGTACTAAATTTTGCTTACTTTTTAGTAGAATATTGCCCCCCCAACCCAAATGCTGATCAAATTGTACTGATGAGTTTCGTTTACGCCTATAATTTAGCAGATGATTAATCAGTGATGTTTTGGATCAGGTCCTCCTGGACTCAATCTTTTGGACTCCTCAAAAGGCTTTCCTTCCTGTCTCTCCATGCTTTCCTTCAACATTAATTCGGCTTCCTCCATCAGGGCATGCTTTTTGGTCGCCCCGCATGAAATTTGCTTGGAACTGTAATGTGGCCCCTCGGACAATAATGCCTGACTCCTCATCGAAAATGGAACAATCGGGCGAGATTCAGAACCTGAAAATGAAACAAAAAGGATTAGGAGAAAACATAGCCAAAAACTCAAGTTAGTAGCCATTTTTCTCTTAGTTGGTGACTTGGTGTATATGACTCTCGGTACGGTGCTATATATAGAGAGAACTGAGAACTTGATACCATAATCTTTTTCTACTATTAGAATTTGGTCAAAAGGAGCACATTAAATTGTTTGGGATCACATTTTTGTATATTCAATACATCATCAAAGTCAAGGATAAATTAACCGACTTCTAATCCTTATTTTCATACTTTTGATCACCTATTATGATTCTATTCTTTTTTTCCTTTTGTCTTATCCCTGATCTAATGTGAAATCTCAAAGCACAAAAAAAAAAGAAGGATTTGTATCTTTTTCTAATACCAACATGTGGTGGCTTTTCGCCGCCATTGGAAGATAAATTGTGCAAATATCCCACTAGTGCTAATCCTAAATGTTTTTTTATTTTTTTATATTAATCTCTTAATATTCAGTAATTATATTAAGTATCGACTAATTTTGAATCGAGTCGCATCGGACTCTATAAAGGAAAACTCTCACAACACTTGTTTTTTTATGCACAAAACTTGAATTCGAAACCTTATATAAGAGAAACTAAATTCCTTCCATTCAAACTAACAGGTAGTTTGTGCTAAACCTAAATGTTAAGTGTAAAATCTTTGGATTTCCTACTTATCTGTATTCCATATTGGTAAGGTCATGTGAAATGAATTGGGTGCTTTCTTTCCTTCTTCGGCCTTAAATTGGGTGGTGTTAAGGTCATGGGAAATGAATTGGGTGCTTAATCAGGAGGTTATGATATATGGAATCAGTATGTGATGCAAAAGCAGAAAGTTAATTTGGTCTGTGGCGCTAGGAATTGAGTTTCCTCTTTGGAAAGCGGAAAAGGGGAAGATGAATCTTCCTTTTTCCTCAATCATATTCTTTTCTCTTGAGTTCCGTGTAACTCCGATAAGAAAAGTGAAGCGAACCTGCTTAGATTGCACTAGCTTTCTTCTTGTGAACAAAAAAAAAATTTATGAGTCCATCTTCTTTGTTAAGTAGTTTAACTTGTATTAGTACAACTAAAATAATAAATTTTTAAAATAGAAATGAGACTACTTTAATATATTTTACGATGCTTTTGGAATAGTTTTTTGGTCAAATTTTTAAAAAATTTTAACTAATAAACATTGACATCAAAATAAATACACTGCATATGAGATTAAAAAAATTTTATAAGTTCTCATGCACACATAAGATATATCCACCTGATTTGTATTTTATTTTTTTGCCAACCGATTTATCCGCTCGATTGCTAAGCTTAGAATTTGATAACTTCTGCACTGAGTTTGAGACCTTTTCCTTTTGCAAACCGACATTTGCTTGGTGCATTAACAAAATTTATTTTTCCTACTAAGACGTTTATAATTTCAATAATTGTTAAGATGTGAACATAATTATATTTAGAATTATTGTAAATATTTTATACTTTAGAATATTCTCTTTGTATACTTTATACTTTAAAATATTCTCTTTGTAAACACCTATATATAGGTCATTGTACATACGGTATAATTCAAGAAAGCAATAAATCTTTCTTCAGATATTTCTCCTTCCTTTCAGTTTCTAACATGGTATCAGAGTTATAAGCTCTTGGTTCTTTTCTCTTATCATCGCTGTTGGATTTTTTGGATTTGGATTTTCAATTCCATTCCAGATCTGAAACTTTGTCATTGGGATCTCTTCTCATACAGATTGGATTGTTTATCCTCGATTGTCAGACCATTTCTGAGGTATCTTGTTGGTTTGTTATTTCGATCTTGGCATCTATTTCTCCATATTTTTAGAGTTTTTCAATATTGTGAGTTTACTGATTCTATCATGAGTTTTGAAAGGATTGTAACTCATCCTGCTACTGCTACGGTTGCCAAAGAAGTGATAGAACAACCTAATGTCAACCTTGAATCCCTAAAACAGGTGATATTAAATCTTTTTAATGCTCCTACTGCCTTATCTACTGCTCCGGGTACCAAACCTTGGTATTTCGATTCTGGTTATTGTAACCATATGTCTTCAATTACTGCTCATTTCTCTTCAATGTCACCTAATAATTCCTTTCCTGATATTTATTCTGCTGATGGTTCCCCTATGAATGTTAGTCACATTGGTAATATTTCTATAAAGTCATTGACTTTACCAAATGCCCTTTTAGTTCCAAAACTTAGTTATAATCTTCTATCTGTCAGTCAATTATGCGATCTTGGTCTTGAAGCAACATTTTCTACTCATGGTTGTCGTGTGCAGGACCCACGGACAGGACAACTTCTTGGAACTGGTCGCAAGGTGGGGCGTTTGTTTGAGCTCAACTATCTGCATATTTCTGATAATAAAATGGATACACCATCATTTCCAAATGATCGATTCATCAAAACCCTGCTTTGTGCTATTGAATTAGAGTCTTTGCAAATTCCATATCAACAAATCTTCCAAGTCTATGCTGCTACTAACATTTCTCCTCTCCATTTGTGGCACTCACGACTCGGACATACCTTTGTCGGTAAACTTCGTCCACTTATCTCTCGTGGTTTATTAGGATCAGTTCTAAATGAATCTGTGCATTGTGTGTCATGTCAATCTGCAAAGCAACCAGCTTTATCTTTTTCGAGTAGTCATTCTCATTCTACTGCTCCTTTTGATCTTGTGCATTCTAATGTTTGGGGTCCATCTCCTACACCCACCATGGGGGGTTCCATGTACTTCGTGTTATTTATTGATGATCATACTCATTTTACCTGGATATACCTTATGAAAAGTTGCTCTGAATTATCACAAATTTATATTGATTTTGCTACCATGGTCAAAACCCAGTTCTCTAAAATTATCAAAGTTTTGAGAACT